GACATCGCACCAGGGTGGGGAGGGGGACGGGGGAGTGTCAGTCATGTTGTGACCAGAGACTTATAAAGCCAGTAGTGTATACGTCTATGTTGTGACACAGACACGAATTCGAACTGACAAAGCAGCTAGGCTACGCATACTTACTTTGAACCCACACATGCGCATACATACATCATGTATCTCAGGCGGCTCATCAGTATTGTCGTTGATAAGCATGCACAGGCCTAGTTTTCGTGAAGCCGACGGTATCTTGTTGAAAGAATGACAAACACATTCAAATTGGTAGACCTTTGAGTCAAACATGAAACTTGTCTGTGATGAGGTCAAAACTGGTAAAATTCACTCCGAACTCTTGTTAATCATATCCTCTCGCGTTCGGGTGAAGTTTTCTGTTCCGGTCTTTTTTAACCAATCAAAATGTGGCAAATTTTGAAGCCCGCGATTTTCAAACCGCAAATATTTTTATTGTGAAACCTGATTCGTCAAAAACGTCGATAACTTTAATGTTTAAACACGTTTTGAGGAAGAAACACTTCAAACCATAACGAATACGTTTGCAAAGTTCACGTAAATAAGATACGATTTGAAACATATTTTTTATTCCTACAGAGATGTTTAAAACGGCGATTGTTTAGCTTCTGATCTATTAATAACCGATCAGAGCGTCACAAATTTTAAAGTCCGTTCTGCACGATGTAAAGAAATAGATCGCATAGTATTGTAGTTTCGTTTTGTGTTACTATATATAGCGTTTTGCTTGAACTATATATATATATATATATATAATCCACGCGTACGATAAAAAAGCGCTCGCTGCGCTCGCTATAAACTTCTATTTCTCAACGTGTTCTTCGGGATGGTAATTTTCGATTGTGAAAATATTCTTGTAACACAACCAATTCGGTAATATATAACAACTAGTTGTACATACGCTTACACCGTAGCCGAATCGTCATCGATTTGATGACAACTCGTACACATTTTACATACGCTTCACTGATCATTTGTCTGATGAACGTGACAGGGTACATACCGTACTAGTCATCAAAACGTCACATAAAAACACTGATTGGTTGTGTTACAAAAATCTTTTCATAAACGTATATTCTATTCTTAAAATATTGACACTTTATCTACAATTTAGAAGTACAATGAACATAAATAAACAAACTGGCCGTACACTAGGATTCACAGTCTACTTAAATCTCTAACATAAGTGTACATCTACTTCCTAAGGAACAATATGTCATACGGTCAATTTCTATATTTTGTATCATTTAATAAACCAAGGTTAGATAAGGCCTGTACGTGAAAAGGCACAAAGACACGAGCGGCTCTCATGACGTCTTCACATTGCAGAAGTTACATGTTAATATCTTGTTACAAAACAGCTAGTTTCTGAAGGAGGTAACAATTAAAGATAGGATCCAAAACTAAAGGATCAGTTACCTACTCGATATAACTTCCTCTTCAACAAACACAATATTTAACTAAGTATGACGTAAAATTATTCAGACAATAGCACAAATGGAAAGAGGTATATAAATAGCATCCTATGGAATACACGCATCATATAGAATCCGTCCAACTTCAAAATCCATGAACTCACATAGCAAGTTATATTTTTTGGTAAAAAAGGTAATGATATAGGTAAAATGTGGAAGGTAAAATATAACATTTAAGTTAACGCTGTTCCTTTCGTATGCTGGCTTCTTACATACCCTCGATTGTGTAAAACAAATGTGTTTGAATATTGTCAGCAGATGTGTGTTCAGTCGCCTATCATTAATCCTTTTGAATTGAATAGTGTTTTTATAACCAAATTTGAAAGGTGTTGTAACCTTTTGAGTGTGTTTAAGATCAAGATACAAAGGGGTAGGTACTGCTGGTGGATTGTTGTAGTATTCGATATTTGCTATAACATTGAGGGCTAAAGTTATCTCTTTTTGAGTAGTGGCAAGGTTCATAATAGGGGTGTCACAATACGCCAGAGTGTATCACGATATATTGCAATACAGAATGAATATATTGCGATACGTATCCCGATATATATATATATTGTCATAGGAAGGATGTGCTCAATTTTATGATAAGTTGTTTTCAGAATACTATCAAACTTAAGATTTTTTGCAAACCAACCATCGATTACAAAATTTGAACTTTTAAAAGCCTGCGTTATGCTTATTAGCATAACTGTTAGAATTTGTAGTAATTTGCAAAGTTAAAACACCAAGCAGATACATACAAATATGCTTTTGAAAAACATTGCATACAGCAATATTATTATCTCTGTATTGTGGTACGTTACGATATACCCGTGTATTGCGATATACATGTTTTCCGATATATTGTGACAGCCCTTGTTCATAACAAACCGAATATACTCATCAGTAATGTTAAACCAACCAGTGCCACTATCTTGTTTTTAGCTCATCTGACCCGAAGGGCCAAGTGAGCTTATGGCATGGTGCGTCGTCCTTCGTCCGTCCGTCGTCCGTCCGGTGTCAACTTTTTACTTGAAACAACTTCTTCTCAGTAACCAAAAGGCCTAGGGTGATGATATTTGGCCAGAAGCATGCTTGGATGAAGGCACGTGTGATAATCTAACTTTCCCCTGCCAACAATACTCATATGGCAATGACGGTAACCCTTGTCTGGTTTAGGGAGTACACACTCGCGTTCTTATCTCTATGACATCCATGACGGACCTGGTCGCCACTAGATGGATAGCCCTGTAATAGTATCTTCAATTCACCCCCACCCCCCACCCCACACACACACTCCTCACCCCCACCCCTGTCAGGCACTGCACGGTGTTAGTCAAATCCTAGGGTTTGACCTCAACTGTACTGATACCCATGTTGTTGTTGGTTTTTTGATCATCATCAACAACATCATCATCATCATCATCATCATCATCCATTTCTTCATGTATGATGAAATGATTTCATATATTATAAGTACATACATCTTTTCAGTTGCATCACAACATTAACACTTGGAAAGCCATTAACCATTTTTTCTCCAAAAGGGTTAGTTTGTCTAGATATACGATGGTATCATCCGCAAACAATCTGACCGTGGAGTTCAAACCAATTGGCATGTCATTAATATAAAATAGGAACAAACAAGGCCCCAGTAAAGATCCCTGGGGGACGCCGGATAAACTGGTACATACTCAGATGTGACGCCTTCAACAAGTACTGATTGGGTTCTATTACTTAAGAAGTTTGAGTTTCCAGGAAGTAGTTTTATCATCTATACCATAATGACTGAGTTTGTTGGTAAGAAGAGAGTGGCTGACCTTATCAAATGCTTTGCAACTTTGGAGAAATCCATAACCGATATATCTGATTGTTTTGAGTTGTCAAGAGTTTTGGTAATACCATCACACCACACATAGACATACACAGGTGTAACGAACCCTGTGGTTCAATCTAGCTGCGATAACGTAGCTTTCTGGCGACGAGAGATTTTTATACGCCCGTCAAATTTGACGGGAGTATTATGGTATGGCGCCGTCCGTCCGTCCGGCGTAAACTTTTGTTTGTCCGACATTTTTCGACCGATCTCTTTGTAACTTGGTATACATAATAATCATGATATGAAGTTGTGTCTCCCTTAAAAGAATTTTGATTTGAAAAGTTATTGCCCTTTGTTCATTTCATTATTTGATTTTTTGCCCGGAGATCTTCTGCTACATTTTTTGACGGATTTCTTTGAAAACTAGTAGGCTAAATAATCTTTTCATTTTTTTTATTTTTTTTTTCACAAGTTTTATTAATATATAAAACAACAACAACAAAAACGTCCACTCACTCACAAACATTGTGATGCCATTACCTCAATCATCATCATCCTCATCATCATCCTCATCATCATCATCATCATCATCATCATCATCATCATCATCATCATCATCATCAT